CTGACATGTTAAAGAGAAGCCATCAGAGGCAACTGCTACCCAAGGGAGAATGCAGTTTTACAGGTCAGTTAGCCACTTATCGTTTTTTATGTACGTACAGTACAGCATGGCAGCACACCACATTTATGTGACCAAAGCATCACTCAGCTTGGTCTGAAACGCGTGTGATGTACCCTGGATATATAAACATGCTAACCAACTATATGACACATCTCTGGTTCCTTCCTGATGTACAGAAACTGCTGCTGTGTGCCCTGGGTTTTGCTCGCAGTGCTGCCCATGCACCTCATGGCTGACCTGAGGCTGGCTGTGCTGTAGTGACAGTGGTGACTCGTGTGGTTTGCTCAAGTTAGCTCAGACACTGGTCTTAGTCAAACAATGCAGCAGAAAGTAGCTGATCCAGTTGTTGAGTTTTGCAGCCCATAGTAGATTCCAGGTTGCTGTCCCACTTAGGTTGCTGCCTGCAGCTGTGTACTGGAACTAGCTATCTGAAGTTGGCTTATATGAAGGACCCTGCATGTCTTTGTTTTTCACTTTCTGAGCAGAGGTATTGAAATATCTAGGCTTAGATACTATCTTGAATTTTTTCTCAGCTTGAATGGTTTCCCAGAGTTAAAAGGTAAAAAGAGGATCTTGCTCCTAACTCCATCTGGAATTGCTGCTCTACTTGGTAGAGCCAAGTGATGGTGTGCTACTCACTGTGGAGTTACTGATTTTGCACTAGTCTAAAAGCTGCCAAGTCCTAAAGCATTAAAGTTGTATCTCCGCTTGGCTAGTCTGATTTTTCAGTTGGGTGGAAGGACTAGCAAATACACATACATCTTCCAGATTTCCCTTGCTTTCCAATATTGAGTCCATAATTCTTCTTCCAAAAAGGAAACCTGTTAGCAGCAACTAGCTAGCAGACATTGTGCTGTGTTTGAAACCTTCTCTCTATGGGGTCTGTATCCTGACGATACTGCCTTAATCGCTGCTTGCAGTAGGTTTGTGTGTTTGTCTTTGGAAGCTGTGTTGCTTCTTGATTAATTGATGGACATTTAGACCAGCATTCTTCCTTCTGTCATAGAGCTTATGATGGGAATTCTCAAAGAACCTTGCTTTAACCTCCTAGACACTTAGCACTTCTTCATGGGGTTTATATCCATGTAGAAATGAATTTGTCAAGACAAGTGAATGCAGTTATTGACTGGAGCAGCTGTTACCTGCTGCTATTGAACAGTTAGGAGAGGGTTAAGAAGAAAACCTCTTCTGAGCCACTAGATTGGCCCTGACTAAGATGAATGTCTAATTCACTCCCAGCGTCCTTACTGCTGCCAGTAATAAAAAGCTTGCTTCACATATTCACCCCACTGCAGACGTTTCTCTTAAATTAAATATCAAGAGGACATATAATAGCACGATTCCAGACCAAGCCAATATTATCAGATTGATGTCAGCAGTGATAATAGAAGAAGGATAAGTTGATGAGATTTCATTTATTAAATAAAGTAAGGGGAATATGCAGTGATAGAGAGGATTTGGTAACTCTCGATGTGTCAAAATGCAGAAAGATCATGCTCGTTCTGTCTTACCTTAAGGGATAGCAGAGAGAAGGATGCCCTTTGTTTCATTTTAAGAAAACCTCTCCCTTCTTTTCCAGACAAAGACCTGATTTTGATCCCTCCATGAGAGGGGGAGAGGAAGATCTGAAATAATGGATTTTGTGTGTAGTCGTCCTTCCCATAGAGCAGTGGTGAGGCAAAGGTTTCTTTCCCCACTATGATGGGGGAGGCACTGCAAATGAGTTTTATGTCTACATTCCTACTTTCCTTTTTCCCACCTGTCATCTTTTCTCCTCCCTTTAAACAGATGAGAGCATGTGTTATTGGTTTAATCTTTCATATTCCTTATGTCCTGCGTTTATTTCCGAGGTATTGTTAGAGCTCATCTCTCATACTTCCCTGTCCACAGGTATTGTCCTAGCCCCTCCTAGCCTAGCCTTCCTCTCTTGCCTTTTTCCTAGCTGCTATAAATGACTCTCAGGCTTTTCGTGTTTAATTCCTTTTCCTTTCAGATATGTACAAGTAAAGCCAGTCAATGGTAAGGTGTATAGGGCTGTAGTTCCCCCTTGTGTGGAAATGTTGCAACCTGAAGTCAAGAGACTTAACGTGAGCAGGAGAGTGGCATCCATTTGCGTCAGATAGGACAGGAGTGGTGATTGCTGTGCTGGGAGGAAAGCTCCGCAAGCAGTTGTTCACCAGAGCACTTCAAATACCCCTTTTCAGTCCAGACAGGTACCAGAACTGGTCTGCTGGACATGGGTGTCCTGTGTACTCCTGGCCTCTGCAGGATACGGCTCCTTATGGTGAGCTCGCATTTACTTCTTGTCCCTCCGGTTCATAGATCACGCTGCATGGTGGGGCACAGTGACAGTTATCTCCTGAGCAGCGCTAGCTTCCCACTCCAACGGGAAATGTCATTCTCAGTGGGATTTAACCGGTTCTGCTGACTTTCCAGTTCACTTGTGAATGCACTAATATATTGGTTTGTGTAATCTGTATTGATAATTACCTTAACCAACTTTGTGTTCTGTTGATTAGTTTCTCTAAATCTGTTTTGAGAAGCTGGTGCAATGGATGCGTAACCACAGTTAGATTTTATTTTGAAGAAATAAAGGAGAATATTCTTGCTATGATTCTGGGCATCTGGTACCCAATAAAGCCTCTCTGTGTTGTGGGAGGTGGCGTGTATGAACGCTGATTTAGGTACTTGCTGGGCAATGCACACCATTCTGTTCTGATTGATCCCTTGCCTCTGGTAGGCTTTAGGCAACAACGCTCCCTCTGTGGTTTCTCTCTCACCACTGTGCCTTTTAAATAGCCCTGTGTGCTATGGGCAGAGCATCAGAGGGGCTCCTAAAGAAGGGGGGCCACAGACTTTGCAGTACTGTATGAGCCTGCAGATGGGTCCTAGCTTTATATTTAGTCTGCAATGAAGACTGATGCTGTAGGAGAGACAGTGAAGGAACAGACACACACAGGAAAAGCACAATTCCTATAGCTCTCTATGCCAACAATGGCAACCTCAAGCATTCTTCTGAATATTTCTGAGATATTTGTACCATATTCAGTTCAGATGAATACAGACTTTGTGGCATGCTGTACTTTTTTGCTCTTCCAGTTCTCTGCATGAAGTGACCTTCAGTTTAACATGGCTGAGTTTAAAAAAACCTGATTTTAAAAGTTTTAACTTTTTCAGTGAATTGAGGGATTTGGTGGTATTTCCGGACCTGGTATTGTTTGGTATCCTCTCCACAGTCTCACTGATTTGATTAGAGTGATATTAAAGTTAGTGACAAAGCAAAATGCCAATGTTATGAATTTGTGAAGCTCTCCCTGGGTTCTTTTCCAAAATTTGAAGATTTTTTTAGATTATGGATTTTTAGGGGCTTTAAATGTGATTTGCTATAGAACATAGAAATTAGAAATGCACGCTAGCCTCTAGGGACCATGCATAGAATAAGTTTCTTCTAAAAGCTGTAAGATTAGTGAAGAAGCGGAAAAAGAAATCTGTACAGTATCTTTGGTGGTTTCTGAGGCAAACCTCAATGTTTTAGAGTGTGGCTGTCATACTGTTACTGATAAATTTTTGGTCTGTCCATGTATGTTGGCAGTAAGACTGAGGACTGAAGAAGTATCATTTGGAGTATGTCTCAGCCAAACTATTTTGAGAGAGCAACCGGGTTGCTGATACAGAAAGGACAGAATTTTTTTCTTCCTATTTTGGCCCTTCCATTTGCCTTCCTGAGCACCTTACAAAAATGAGCATGATTTGGAATCTGATATCTGAGCTCCCCAAAAGCTTTTCGAAGATTTTGTTTTTTATGAAACCAGGACACTTAGAAATCTGTTCCACTTGAGAGAATGAGACATGCCCAGGAACAGGTCATGTTTTCTCTCTGCCTCTCTATGAAGCCCTGTTGCTGAATGAGTGCCTGTTGTCACTGTGGAAATGAATACATCATAGCATGGCATTAATGCCTGCCTGTAGCATCAAGTGCTTTGAAAGGAAAAGGTGCATTTGGTATTTGGGCACAGACCTCTCTAAGCATATTGGGGCAGAAAATGCAAGGAATTAAATGGATTTATGGTTTAGGAGGTAGCATCTGAGCATTGCTATACCTAAGCATATGTTCTCTTGTTCTCTGGTAAAACATACCATGGCAATTATGCTGCAAATTCCTGCAATTTGTGTCTGCCTGTCTGTGCAGCTGATGACACTGTCGTTACTGTGTTTGTGCCATTGTTGCTGGTATTGTTTTACAACGACCTTCCCCTTTATTGGTACTGTTGCTGATGATGTGCCATATGTACACATGCACATTAGAGTATAAGAACATCATCCCTAATTGTTCTTGGGTAGCTGTCAATGCCATTTACAGGGTATGAGTGCTAATTGCTTCAGAAATACAAAGAAACAGATATCTGGTCTTGCTATTATTCCGCTTTTCCTAGTCACTAGGAGCATTGCAGTGCTTCCAACCATGTTGGATTTTTTTGAAGTGTTTAAATAGATGAGAATTCAATAGATCGAGGTGGCTTATTCAACAAGTCTATTCAGTTCCTTGTCAGACTGTTACAGATCTAGCTCTGGCCCAGCCATGATTCCTGAATTCTGCCAAAGATTTCCAGTGTGAGTTGGGGAAATCATTGAACCTACTGGAATCAATTCTTTTTTTTGCTCCTGACTGCAGAGGAGAGGTGATGTTTTATCTAAGGGTAAAACAGCCTTCCACGTTAACCTAGAAAGAGCATGTTACTTCCTTCTGATGAGTACCCTGGATTTTTCAGCTGAAAGACACCGTTGGTCATTTGACCCACTTTGGTGATTGCTGCTCCCGCCATTTTCTCTATTAGGACTAAATGACTCCCAACACAAGATTAGTATGTGTGTCACTGGTAAAGTGGTAGTAAGTGGGTGAAAACTCTTCACACATCTTTCTGTGCTTGTTTTCCCTGCAGGAGGAGGAACACTGATCCTGTCTGTGCAAGCCTGCAGTCTGAAATTCTGAAGTGCTACCAGGAAAACAGACATGAAGTGCTCAAATGCTCGGAGCTGGCTAAGGAATATCAGCGCTGCGTTAGTGCAGCTCAGAAGGTAACAGAAACTTCCCTGCTGTACTTGCTGGCTTTGCTGTCTTGTTTTGCATGGTGTTTTCTTCTGGGGAGTGTTCCTGAGAGCTGTGGTATCTGTTAGTCAAATTGCAATTTTTGTAGGAGACAAATTTTCCTTGGGATCCATTTTCCCACATTCATTCCACATTTCCCGGTCTCACTATGGTATGTCCCAACTTCACTCCCATCAGTGGGTCCTGTTGAACTGAGCTGCCACCAAAACTGTAGCACCGATGCCCCTAGGTTTCAAAGTCAGTCACAGTGATTTTCCCAAGTTTTGTCATCTTGGATGCTGTGTACTGCAAATGGTAGGCAAATCCATTTTGCCAATGTCGGCAACATTTTGAACAGGCTTTAAACATTCTCCCATTATGGGTCTTCACAGTTGGAGGTCTTGCTTCCATTTGTTGCTGCATGAGGAAAGCTTCTTTACTGGGTAAAACTGCTGCCTCTTAAGAAAACTGTACACTCCTAAAAGCTGTTCATCTTCTGCACGGGTCCAGCAAGCCTTGTGGCTCTTCCTTCAGGGGTGTGGAGCCCTAGTAGCTTCTGTTGATGCCTTAGGACAGTGGCTGCTCAGTACCTTGAAAGAATTTCTGGATATCGAAACAAGTGAAGGAGAAGGGAAAAATGTAGTATTTGGACATTACAATTAGGATATGGTCTTGGGAAAAGTGAGTGGTACGACATAAACTGCTGCTTGGGATGTCTGGAGTGTAAAAGATGCTGTTCCCCAGTGGGTCAGGTGTCCCTCAAGGGTAGGCTTTTTTTTTGGGGGGTGGGGCTGGTGATGGTGGTAGAAAATTCTCCAAAAGGTGCTGAGACAACAGTAAGGTGGATTTGGGGAAAGGATGGAGCCTTCTCTGAATAGAAAACTGAGACTCCTCTCATGGGATTACTAATGCAAAGGGTGGGGGGAGAGGTGGAGATTTCATCGACGCAGTCCTTCTCTGTCGCATTAGCATTGTGAGGGGAAGCTGTATGCCTGATTTAAGTATAACATGAAACAATCTGCCAGCCGGCTCCCAGAAGAAGCCCGACAGAAGGAGATGGGAAAATTGTCAGGATATATTAGACCAAATGTTGTTGCTAGTCCTAGTGGAATTTTTTTCCTTCCTGTTTACAAAGAAGGTCTTTGTATGTCTGCAAATCAGCAAGGTTAAAGCTGCCAGGAAAAGGGCTTTTCTCTGATATCTTTAAAGTCCCCAGCTCCCAAAACATGTGGTTTCTTTTTCTTTCTCAGCTTTAAAGTAAAGCGGTGCCTGTGTTGCCGCCGCACAATCCGTGCCCTCTGTTGCTGTGCTTGGGGCATTGTGCATCTATTGCCAGCCTCCGTTACCTGATGCTTCCTCCTTGCCTCCTGTAAATCAGGCTTGTAGCCTTTTCAGTGGAGTATATCTTTAGCAAATGCATTTACCAATACATCTTTATTGCATGCAGTGCGGGCGGAATGTGATTACCAAAGAAGACAGATTGCATTAAACTTCAGCATATTTGCAAGCTGCGGCTCCAACCCGCCTGAGAAAGGGGCTGGGATGCTGCCAGCCCTGAGCCCCAGCCCGACATTATTAAAGAGTAAATTGGAAGCTAAATGACTGGTAACAGCAGAGGGCAGTGAAAGATCCTATTAACTTGGATTGTTTTTGGAGTTGGGTGGTGGAGGAATTTTTTGGTAGATTTTCTTTATAAACCAAAAACTGGGGATCATCTTGGTTCCTAGAGTGGTCAGTCAACTTCAGAAATTTTTTTGCCACTGTTATAGAAACTTCCTGAAAGGAGCAATGCATAGGACATTAATTTGATGTGGATGATGACAATATGACAGAAAATCTCCTTGCTATGTTTTAAGAAGGGATGAGAGAGACTAAGGAATGGGTAACTAAACCTTACAGATAGATACAGGTGCTAGAGGGTTCTGCAACTACAAATTCAAATAAAACTTGTGTAAGGCAGTACATTTCTGTAGTTTCCTTTGTCCCAGGATAGCTCAAGCCCTGACAGTTTGCCTTACTGCTCTTACTGAGTCCTCTGACTCCTGCGATATATGTAGCGATCACAAGCTGTTGTAGTTTTTTATGAAGGATTAAAACTCCCTCCTCCCTTCCCCTTTTAAGCTGTTATTTTTCTTTAAGTTTAAATTAGCATCTTCTACCAAATGGCTTTGTCTCACGCACTCCTCATTCAGGAAATTCAGGTTGGAGGAATGTGGGAAAGAAAGGCCAGAATCTCTTGATTTCTTGGGTGTTATTTTCCTTTTTTTTTTAAACGCAATTTGTTTTCCAGTACAGGAGGTTGTAATCAAAGCTGGATGTGTGACTTCAGCTCACTTGCATGCTGGTGATTTGTTGTTCTGCTTTTTACTAAAGATTTTATAAGGCTTGGTGAATATTCTTTAATGAAGCATCTGGTTCTCTGCAAGTTCCTTTTGATGGCTGGTAAAAATGTCTCCAGGGCATGGTATACATTAGACTCAGAGAAAGCAAGCTCTAGATTTCTAGACTGAAAATTACAGCTTACAGTGGATGAGAATAATTCTTTGCATCTTCCTCCTTTCTGTGTTGGTTTGAGACTGTTCCTCTGGGCATCTATTTCCCTTTGCCTATTGCTGTGCACATTTCTGAGCTGGGAGCTGAGATGCACCCCCGGTTACTTTTGCCCCACAGACAAATATATCAGATAATCATTTAAGGAGTTTGGAAATTTATTTTCTACTCATTTTCTGTATGGTCCCTCTTACTGAAACAGGTTACTTTATTGTAGTGCATGGAAGGGATATAGCTGACATTACCTGTTTTGTATGTTTTGCGACCATCAGGGCTTCCTTTGTAGCTAAGGAAGAGAAATAGGCACTGCTAAAGCACGACGCATCTGATCCTAAAACAGTCATCTGACACAGGGCAGCTGGATTGCCATCCACAAGCGAATATTTCTCTCTGCCACTACGGAGGCACATCCAGACCACAAAGACCAAAGTTAATGACTGTAGTGGGATGGTCATGGAGTTATGGGAGAAGGATCCTGCTCCAGTTGTCTGCCTTTGTAGCTAGTGTGCCCTGCCTAACCTGCTCACTAATTTTGCTGTTTGTACCATCCTGAACATTAAGTTTTGGTAGCGTTGCCATTGGCTGGCTGCGGCGGCATCAGCCCACTTGGGCTCTGGGTTGCTTGCTGCATCCTGTGCTTTGCTTATGTGCAAGCTCTCCGACTTCAGAGTATGTTACTGTAATGTCTCCTGTTTAATTTGGGAATGTTTTATCTTTTCTGGTGGTCTGTTTTCATGGCTCTGCAGAACTTCAGCTACAGCACAAAAATTGCTGGCTTTAAATCTAATAAAAGCTGGGATAATGGGACAGCTGTGGGAGGGGCAGTTCCCATTGTGTCTTTTAAAATTGCCTGTAGTTTATTGACCGCAAGTTTCACCAAGAGCTACTGCTGCCGTTAGATAATGAGAATTGAAAATTGCTGCTGCTGTTTCCCCAAGGTTTTATCTCGTGCCAATGAGAAGAGGGTGTGGAAGGAAAAGGAGAGTGGGCAGTGGAAATCTGTGTAATTTCTTACTTTGAGTACAGATGGAAGGGAAAAACAAATGATTTTTTTTTTTTTTTTTAAAGTCTGAGTTCTATTAGTGAATTCCTTCCCTCCCCCTGAAAATATGCACTCATGTGCAAGCTTTTCAGAATATTTGTGGCCCATTCTGCTTCCCTTATGTCCTGTTCACATCAGTAGGCAAATCTGAATTTCCATCATTTTAGTTGGTTAATTTGTTACGTAATTGGTGGTTATACTAGGGAATCTCTGACCAGCTGCCACTTGAAAAATACAGCCTCTGGTGACCATATATTAATGTGATTTGAGATTTCAAACAGAACCTCTTTCATGTGACTGTGTGCAGAGAACTGTCTGTTAGTGAAAAGCATGTATCCCTTTCTTTCCAAGTGTTTTCTTACTGTCTCTAGGTGCCTGTCTTTCACAGAAGGACCAAGGTGAAATTTTTGCGCTCTAGCTCCTGGCCAAACCAAGCTATAAAGAGCTGCATACTCAGACACATGTATTCCCTTGTCAATAGGAGCTGTATACATTGAGCTAGAAGCCATTCATAATTCTGTGCTCTTTCTCCCTATTCTGCGTCCAGCTTCTCACGAGTTTGCTATTTATAACAGACAAAGGTAAACCTACTTCTATGAAGGCTTTAGGGCTTGCCTACATAAGGAAATTACAATGCAATAAACTGGTGAGTGAGTTTATGGTACAGCAACTTCTCTGTATATGAACATTCTGGGTTTGTAATGGAAGTGCAGGGAAAACTCACACTCATTTACCATGAGTCACTCTGCTATGCAAACAAGCCCTAGCAAAACACTGATTGACTGGATTCCAGTGGTGGTAGACTTTTAACATAATCTCAAGTCAACTGCATTCCCCTGACTGTAATAAAAAGGAATGTGGTCAATTTACTGCGCCTGCTTTTCCAAGTGATCCCTGTGAAAGTCCACTTCCCATTTGGCACACACAGCAAAGTGTTGCAACTGTGCTGGAAGTTTGTCTCTAATCTGTGGGCAGTGACCTAGATTGCTGAGAAGATGCCACAGGTAGTTGTGCAGTGTCCCATCTTGATGGAGCAGTTCTGCTCAAGCATATCGGATCCTGCTGAAGTATAGCCTGCTGGGAGCTGTCGTTTCTGAAACCTGAATATCTCTCTCTCTGCTTAAGAGAAACAGCTTCGGGATGCATTGGATGCCACAGGCTGCACTGCAGGTGTCTCTGATCATTCTGGATCATTAGGCTCTTGTTAAAGAGTTGTTTCCATTCTGATGGATTGCAAAATGCTTTATAGATTGTTTATGTACTTACTGAGGTAGAGAGCAGCAGTTGGTGTGTGTGGCTGGGGGGACAAAATTTGGACAGGTATAGTAAGGTCCATGTGTGTACTTGAGAAACACCAGGATTTCTCCTCCCCTGGGATTCTGCAGAGGTGTAGATCTT